TTAACAAATTAAGAGGTACTCATTTTGATTCGCATTATTTACTAGCTTCATTAGATGTTGTTTCCCTTTTTACAAATATTCCTTTTAATTTAGTTATGGATGGCATAGAAAAAAGATGGTGTCACATTTCTCTTAAGACTAATATTCCTAAAAATGAATTTATTATTGCTGTTAGCCTTGTCTTAAATTCAACTTTTTTCACTTTTAATAGTAAATTTTACAAACAAGTTTTCGGTACTCCAATGGGCTCACCACTTTCACCAATTTTAGCAGATATAGTAATGCAGGACTCGGAAGAACAAGCTATTAATTGTTTGTCGGTACAACCATTGTTCTATTATAGATACGTTGATGACATTGTTCTTGCTATTCCGCCTGATAGTGTAGATGACACACTTAATACTTTCAATTCCTTACATGAAAGATTGCAATTCACTATGGAGATTGGCAGTGATAACAGATTAAATTTTCTTGACACTACTATTATTGTTGATAATTGCAGAATTATATTTGACAATTTTCACAAAAAAACATTCTCAGGTAGATTCCTTAATTTCCACTCCAACCATCCTATGAATCATAAAAAAGGCATTATTATTAGTTTTATTGACAAGATTTTACTTTTATCACATCCTCAGTTCCAACAAAAGAATATAACTGAAGCCATAAAAATTTTTTTAAACAATTCCTATCCTCTTTCCCTTATATTCTCCACCATTGATCAAAGAATTAAATATCATATACATAATCAACATAATACTCATAATTTTCAAGTAAAAGATAAATATTTCACAATACCTTACGTTAAATCCATATCTGAAAGCTTCCTTCCCATTTCCAGCAAGTTTCAGTGAAAATTAGCCTTTTCAATTCCTAACACCTTAAAAAGTTTTATTAAAAGAGGTAAAGATAAATTAGAACATTGTTCCAATAACAATGTTATTTACAAGATTATCTGTGATGATTGTGAGGCCAGCTACGTTGGTCAGACTAAAAGAAAACTTGGTACTAGACTAAAAGAACATATGTCTGATATCAGAAAAAGAACAGGTTCTCCTTCTGTTATTACTGACCATCGTGTTAACTTTGACCACAATTTTAAATGGGATGATGTCCAAATTTT